GCTACATAGCAGCAGAAGATAGTGGAGGACATGTAGAGACCTGTTGCTAGCTTTGGGCACTGGAAGGAGAGAAATGATGTGGAGTACAGTGCGTTAACAGTGGCAGGGGCTTAAAGGAATATGGTTCGCTGGCTTAGTCCATTTTGTAGCTGCTCTGTAGCACTGCGTACAATCTCCACCCAGGCGTAGGTACATTACTGATGTTCGGTTGCAAGTGGTAACCATATTTTTTTAAATCAAATGTCATAGTAAGTGCAAATACAAATGTGAACAGTCTTTGGCCTAGCAATGTTGTGTAAAGGTATATGTTGCAGTCATTCCTTCTCAATAACAGCTGATGTTGTGTTCATAACATAATGCTACTACTGAACAGACATCTTGTAGTTTCATTGGCATAACTGTAGTCTTATCTTTATCATTTCTCCTAGGGGTTATTTGATAGCAGCTCCATCTGTTTTTCACTCTGGGGTAGAAGAAGCAGTGAGTATAACCATCTTTAACACAGCTGCAGAAACCAAGGTCCAGGTAAAGCTCGTGGTTAAAGGGGAGACAGTGGCTGTTGGCCATGGGTCAGTATTGGGTAAGTGTTTTTTTTTTACCTGTTTGATATAGTGTTCATTTCAATTAAGCCAATAGACTCGATTTACTAAGCCTTATGAGCATTCATGGTAACATCGACCACACCTAATCATTTTCTCAGTATTTATCCCTCACCAGTTTTTTTGGACTTGGATGTTCATGCTAAAGATTGCCATATACTGATTGAAATATGACTGATTGGACCTTAAATTAGCTTGTGGGCTCCCCTGCTCCACAGAAGTCCATTGTTTAGCTTGGGTTCACACTGATGCCGTGTGGAATTCTCAGCGTTTTCTGTGCAAATTCCACACCTGATCAGAATCGCACCCCGTTCATGCAAACTGATGTGGGTGTTTATGTTAAGTTAAGAACACCCCAAAATCGGTCCACAAAACTCGGTGCGATGTGCAGAATCAGATCGCATAGGTGTGAATACCCATGCGATCTGATTCTAGTGCAAACCCAAAAAAGGGTCCTGCACCTTTTTGGTGCAGGTGCGGTGTGGCTTGAGCCATACATTATGTATGGCTCCAATCGAACCGCACACAAATTGCATGTGATTTGCATAGGAATGCGGTGCGGTTCCTGTGCGAATCAAATGCGATATACCGCACCGCATTAGTGTGAACCTAGCCTAAATCAACTTCAGTTAGAAAGTCAGCGCCAGCTCCATCATCCTTTGCTTGGGTGGAAGAATCTGTTAGTTTACTGGGGGGGATGAATGGGAAAACAATAACAGTGTATAGCCAATTTAACCACTTGCCCTCCTGAGGATTTACCCCCTTTCCTGACCAGGCCTCTTTTTGCTGCAATAATTCAACTGATAATTGCGCTGTCATGCAATGCTGCACCCAAACAAAATTTATGTCCTTTTTTCACAGAAATAGAGCTTTCTTTTGGTGGTATTTGATCACCTGTGCGCTTTTTATTTTTCACGCTGTAAACAAGAAAAGACCAAAAATTTTGAAGAAAGACGACGATATTTTTTACTTTCAGCTATAAAAAATAAATAGTAAACTCAAAGTTAGTTATAAATTTAGGCCAAAATGTATTCTGCTGCATGTTTTTGGTAAAAAAAAATCCCAATAAGTGTATATTGATTGCTTTGTGTGAAAGTTATAGCGTCTACAAACTATGGTATAGATACTGCAATTTACGCCATTTTTCTGCTATACAGCGCTGCGCTAGTTTAACGGACAATTGCGCGGTCATGCAATACGGTACATAAATGAAATTTACATCCTTTTTTTCCCGCAAATTGAGCTTTCTTTTGGTGGTATATGATCACCTGTGTGTTTTTTTATTTTTGCGCTATAAAAAAAAAGGCTGACAATTTTGAGAAAAAAACCCAATATTTTGGACTTTTTGCTATAAAACATGTCCAGTAAAAAAAAATTAAAAATCAAATTTAGTCATAAATTTCTGCCAAAATGTATTCTGTGACATGTCTGCTTAAAAAAAATCCCAATACGTGTAAATTAATTGGTTTACGTGAAAGTTATAGCGTCTACAAATGGTGGGAAAGATACTGGGATTTTTTTTTTATTATACTAATAATGGCGGCGATCAGCGACTTATGGCGGTGATCAGTGATTTATGACAGTGATCAGCGACTTATGGCGGGACTATGAGACTGCGACGGACATTTTGACACTGAGGGGGAACTGACTTGGGGTCACTGACATCCCCAGTGACACCAATGCAGTGATCAGTGCAAAAAAAAAAAAACACACTGACACTGTACTAATGGCACTGGGGAGGAAGGGGTTAACTTTTGTTAGGTAATGAAAGGGTTAACTGTGTGAGGGGAGCGTTTTACTAGGGGGCAGGGGTGTTGTCTTCACAGGAACATGCTGATACCCAGAGATAAAGTCTTCTCTCAGGTTCAGTGTGCTCTGAACTGACAGATAGCAGAGCTGCAATGTAAACACTGCAGCCGTGCCATCTGTCAGTGATTACTTGTAATCGCCGGCACCCAGCGGGAAATGACCCACCGGGAGCCGGTGATGGACACCCGCTGCCATGATCGGCGGGACGGGTAGGGCGGGCACGCGCCTCACACACGCCCCCTACCTGTTTTGCACAGTGACGTTATAAGACGGCACTGTGTGTACAGGTGCCGCCCTGCCACAGTAAAAACACTGCGGCGGGTCGGCAAGTGGTTAAAGCAGATTAAATCCGTTGATTTAACTGTTTCCTAAGACAGTTACATTTAAGGCATGCTGTGAATGATAACTGTCACATTTGTTTGTGCTGTTAACTGAACTGTCAAGCCATCAAATGGCTGGTATCATAACTGATCACATGTGCAGCACCATGGCAACTATAGATCAAAGACTGGCTAAATCTGGCTATACTTGTTTCCATTTTTTTGATCAGCCGCTGATCTAAAAAGACCGAGCAGACTGCCCCATCCACACATTCAAGGTGGATGAGAAATCATCCCTGCTGTGCTATTATATTTTGACAGCAGGACTCCTCCACTGTCAGAATACACCGATCAGCACTGCATTCGCTGATTGATTGAAAATGCACCAATAGTCCTATTTGGGAGGAGTCTATCATTGAATTGACTCCTTTCAAATGGGAATGGCCATAGATTGATCGAAATTTGGCCAGGCCCCTGCTGAACCGGTTGAATTTCGATCCATCTGTAGACAGCTTAAGATATCAGCTGTCTTGGCTATAAAAGAAAGGAGGGTTTAGTTCATATTTAAGTTTAGCGTCAATATGCATCAGTTAACTTTTGTTAATCTATGACAAATTTTTCATTTTTACACAGGGCGTGAGAATTAGGAACACACACAGTTTTGTATTTCTAGCTCTCTGCAAGGTTAAGTAGCGTTCTCATGTCAAGGGTCATTTTTCATGTGGACTTAAAAATAAAGTGTATTGTGGTCACAAATTAGTTACTGTACGTTTTCTATAGTGTACATTATATCAGTTTAGAGTGTACCTACAGGAAATTTACAAACAAAGGTGGTTTGCTAGTGTCTTAATTGTACACTAGAGCTGGAGTACCTAAAAGAAAAGTGTACTTTGTCTTATCTTGCTGGGACTTTGTGATATCTGAGCTATTTTGTATGTGCATTTTAAGTGGGAACAAAACGATATGAAGTGTGCATTGAAATCACTAAAGAGTACTAAAAATAAAAAAAATGCCATAATTCATGCGGCAAAGGGAGTAGTATATGTTAATGTCCTGTAAAACCAAGTGAATGCTTTAACCACAACAAACACAGATACAAGATTTAATATCTGGGAATGAAGAATCTAGTAAATAATACCTGCCCATGAACTGCCTTATTTTCTATCACAGCATAAGATATTGGCCTTTTGAAGCTTTTCCTTTGTTTGGCACATGCACATTTATACTCGTGAGAAATCATGCTGCTTCTCACATTGCGTTTTTATGTTGAAGCAGACTTTTACCCACATTCCTTAGGCTACTTTTACACTGTGGAGCTTTTGAAGTGTTTTTGCATTTAAAAAAGCACTTGAAAAGCTCAAGAAAAATGCTTCCCTATGTATGTGAATATATATCTATGTATGTTTTCACACTGAGGCATTGCGCTTGTGGTGCGGTGTAAAAACTCTTGCTTGCAGCATCTTTGGAGAATGTTTAGTGAATTAAAAAAAACGCCCTAAAAATGCCTCTTCCTATTGAAATCAATGGAAAACGTCTGAAAAGCGCTTGAAAAACGCCTCTGAGAACTGTTTTTGATGCAGTTTTTAAGTCATGTATCCTTTAAATCGTTCAGAAAGCACGACAAAAGTGCAGTAAAAACTCCTATTCATTTTTGCAGCTGATCAGTGTGAACGTTGACTTATTTTTTCTTATCTGAGTAAAAGGCAAAATGTTGGCAATATTTGGATGCAAACTGGGACTGCAGATCAGTAAGGGAATCATGATTAATGGGTGTGCTCACATTTGTTCAGTGAACCTATTCCACTATGTAAGTGTAATTACCGTATTTTTCGCTCCATAAGACGCACCTGACCATAAGACGCGCCTAGGTTTTAGAGGAGAAAAACAAGAAAAAAAATATTCTGAACCAATGGACTGCAGACACAGTACAGGGGATGACCAGAGACTGCGGACACAGTACAGGGGATGACCAGAGACTGCGGACATAGTACAGGGGATGACCAGAGACTGTAGACACAATACAGGGGATGAACAGAGACTGCGGACACAGTACAGGGGATGACCAGAGACTGCGGACATAGTGCAGGGGATGACCAGAGACTGTAGACACAGTACAGGAGATGACCAGGGACTGCGGACACAGTACAGGGAATGACCAGAGACTGCGGACACAGTACAGGGAATGACCAGAGACTGCGGACACAGTACAGGAGATGACCAGAGACTGTGGACACAGTACAGGAGATGACCAGAGAGTGCGGACACAGTACAGGGGATGATCAGAGACTGCGGACATAGTACAGGGAATGACCAGAGACTGCGGACACAGTACAGGGGATGACCAGAGACTGCGGACACAGTACAGGAGATGACCAGAGACTGTGGACACAGTACAGGAGATGACCAGATACTCTGGACACAGTACAGGAGATGACCAGAGACTACGGACACAGTACAGGAGATGACCAGAGACTACGGACACAGTACAGGAGATGACCAGAGACTGCAGACACAGTACAGGAGATGACCAGAGACTGCGGACATAGTACAGGGAATGACCAGAGACTACGGACATAGTACAGGGAATGCCCAGAGACTGTGGACATAGTACAGATGACCAGAGACTGCAGACAGTACAGGAGATGACCAGAGACTGCAGACAGTAAAGGAGATTACCAGAGACTGTGGATCTTTGGGGAGGGAGGGGGAACGGGTACCTGAATTTGACAGGTACCCGCTCCCACTTCCGCGGAGTTGTCCTTCCTTCTTCCCGCGGTGGCTTCTGTGACAGCCGGGTACCCACTGTGCATCCGCGAAAAGCGCTGCTCTTTGTGAGTGGCCCAGAGCCTTCTGGGACCTGCCATGTGTCCCAGAAGATGCCGAACCATTCACAAAACGCAGCGCTTCTCGCGCATGCGCAATGGGCACCCGGCTGTCACAGAAGCCGCCGGTGGAAGACTGCAGCGCTGGAGCGAGGAATAGGTAAGGTCCTGCAGGAGAGAAGAGCTGAGCGGCTGGCCCGATATTCTGACATGGTGGTGGCAGAAATACCGGACCGGCCGCTTTATATTCGCTCCATAAGATGTACTGACATTTTCCCCCCTTTTTTGGGGGGGAAAAGTGCATCTTATGGAGCGAAAAATACGGTATCTTCAAAGAAATTTCTTGCTGCCCTTTTGCATCTCCTTTTACTATATCTTTGCTTATGTAACTACAGTTATGGGTAATAGTTGGTGTGTGTTAAAATATTTTCAGGTTCTCATAGTCCTTTTGTCCAATATAACAATAAAAAATATCCACTAATAAGTAATCTCCCAAATGAATACACAGCAAAACAATGATTTTCTGCCAAAATTTATAATTTGTAAAAAACATACATTTTTGTGGAACGGCTTCTCAGTATAAATTAGCTCTGCCAGCTGTCCTGACTACAAACTATTTCAGTGACCTCCAAGATGGGAGTTTGCAGAATAATATATAATACATTTTATGTATATACTCACCGGACACTTTATTAGGTAGACTTGTTCAATTGCTTAATAACACAAACTGCTAATCAGTCAATCACATGGTAGCAATTCAATGCATTTAGACATCTAGATGTGGTGAAGACAACTTGCTGAAGTTCAAACCGAGCATCAAAATGGGGAAGAAAGGAGATTTAAGTGACTTTGAACGTGGTATGGTTTTTGGTACTTGACAGGCTGGTCTGAGTATTTAAAAAACTGCTGATCTACTGGGATTTTCACACACAACCATCTCTAGGGTTTACAGAGAATGATCCAAAAAAGAGAAAATATCCAGTGAGCGGCAGTTGTGTGGAAGAAAATGCCTTGTTAATGTCAGAGGAGAATGGGCAGACTGGTTCAAGATGATAGAAAGGCAACAGTAACTAAGGTATGCAGAATACTGTCTTTGAACGCACAACACGTTGAAATTGGGAGCAGATGGGCTACAGCAGCAGAAGAGTACACCGGGTGCCACTCCTGTCAGTTAAGAACAGGAAACAGAAACTAAATTGCACAGACTCACCAAAATTGAACAATAGAACATTGGAAAAATGTTTGCCTGGTCTGATGGGTCTCGATTTCTCTAGAGATGGTTGTCCGTGAAATCTCTGTAGATCAGCAGTTTATGAAATACTCAGACTAGCCTGTCTGGCACCAACAACCATGCCACGTTCAAAGTCACTTAAATCCCCTTTCTTCCCCATTCTGATGAATGGTTTGAACTTCAGCAAGTCGTCTCCACCACGTCTAGATGCCTCAATGCATTGAGTTGCTGCCATGTGATTGGCTGATTAGCAGTTTGTGTTACCAAGCAATTGAACAGGTGTACCTAATAAAGTGGCCGATGAATGTATTTGATAGTATGTGCACACAATATTACTTTGAAACATAATGGACATTGACATAAAGCTTTACATATAAGTAGTTTTTGAAATGAGCAAGACATTTTCCTGGCATCTTGCAAAAGCATTCTTTGAACAGCATGGGTTGTAGTCTGTTTCCTTGGACAACAGGAATTCTATGGAGGTACACCTGGAATTTCTTGAGTCAGCATGAGGTCTTTGTTCTTAGTGTAGATTATAGCTTTCTATAATAAGTTGCATTCTAAAAACTTGAAGTCATATCCATTCCAATTTGAGTTTGCTGAAATATCTAGATATACTGTACATGAACTTCTCCACTGTAAAAATAAAACAAAACAAAAAACTGTACAAATAATGTAATATACTGTATGCAAATGTGTCAATCTTATTCTGATTTGATATTATTATTGCTTAAGAAATGTTGCTTCTCTTTCAGATAAAGGCACAGTGAAAGTCAAGGTGAGTTAGTAAACACAGATGTAGTCATGAGATCTTAATGAAAGAAAGTTGAACTCTAATTGATCCATTATATTTGAATTATTAGCATATTAGACATTGTTATTAAATGCACTCTTAGGGGATAAACTCTATGGCTGGATTCACTTTATAGGTGTGCTAATGCAACTCATTAAGAGCTCATTTACATTAGCGTTGCTCTCTGAAGAGTGAGCCATGTTTGCGGGACACTTGAATGGTATTGTTTGGCAGCCAGTACTGCCTGCAGAACATTGCAGGGGGTATAATTCTTGCCGCTCTACAATGCAAGTCATCATGGCCTTGACAATTATACAACCGCATCCAGCTGCCTTTGCAGCTTAGGGGGAGGGTACAAAACACTGTTTTTTACTGCCCCCAACCACAAGTGTACACTCAGCCTAAAACTCTCTGCATTAAAGTCATTTTAAAGGGTGCACTTTAAAAAAAGTAACAAACATGGTATACTTACTTGCTCTGTGCAATGGTTTTGCACAGAGCAGCCCAATCCTCTTCTTGGCTTCCCCTTCTGGCTGAGTGCCCCCAATAGCAAGCCTCTTTCTATAGGGGCACTTTGGCAGGCTCGCTCCCTAGCCATGGTCCTGTGAATAGACATTGTTCATTCACACACAGAGCGCAACTCGGTACCGCCCAGCCCCACACTCTCCTCATTGGCTCACTGGCTGTGATTGACAACAGCAGGAAGCAATGGCTCCTGCTGTTGTGCAATCCAGTGGGGATAGAGAGACCTGGAAGAGCCGTAGCTCCCAGGCACATCCCTAGATCGAGATGGGGCTCAGGTATATATAAGAGGAGGGCTGACGGGGAGAGCTGCACCCAGAAGGTTTTTTACCTTAATGCATAGAATACGTTTATAACCATTAAGTAGCCCATTCCTTCTAATCAGAATTTTCATTTCGGTGCACCACTAATAACAAGTAATTCCACAACACATAGAAACAGAATTTTATTCATTAAAAAGTAAAGAATGGGCCAACAATGCACCTCAATGCAGTGAAAAGGAATTTTTTTTTCCTACATTAATTGCACAGTTGGCCCATTCTTAACTTTTTAATGAATAAAATTCTGTTTCTATGTGTTGTGGAATTACTTGTTATTAGTGGTGCACCGAAATGAAAATTCTGGCACCGAAACAAAAAATTTGGAATTTGCTTTGCCAAAAACTGAAACTGAAACAGACAGCTTTGTTCCCACTTAAAATTTTTTTTCAATTTACCGTATTTTTTGCTCCATAAGATGCACCTAGTTTTTAGAGGAGGAAAACAAGAAAAAAAACTCTGAACCAATGCACTGCAGACATAGTACAGAAAATGACCAGAGACTGCGGACATACTACAGAGATGACCAGAGACTGTGGACATAGAACAGGAGATGACCAAATTATGAAAAGACAAACTGGTCTGGGAGGCTGCCATGAGTCCAACAGCAACATTAAAGGAGCTGCAGGAATATCTGGCAAGTACTGGCTGTGTGGTACATGTTACAACAATCTCCCGTATTCTTCATATGTCTGGGCTATGGGGTAGAGTAGCAAAACGGAAGCCTTTTCTTACGCAGAAAAACATCCAAGCCCGGCTAAATTTTGCAAAAACACATCTGAAGTCTCCCAAAAGCAGGTGGGAAAATGTGTTATGGTCTGATGAAACCAAGGTTGAACATTTTGGCTATAATTCCAAAAGATATGTTTGGCTCAAAAACAACAGTGCACATCACCAAAAGAACACCATACCCACAGGGAAACATGGCGGTGGCAGCATCATGCTTTGGGGCTGTTTTTCTTCAGCTGGAACTGGGGCGTTAGTCAAGGTAGAGGGAATTATGAACAGTTCCAGATACCAGTCAATATTGGCTCAAAACCTTCAGGCTTCTGCTAGAAAACTGAACATGAAGAGGAACTTCACCTTTCAGCACGACAACGACCCAAAGCATACATCCAAATCAACAAAGGAATGGCTTCACCAGAAGAAGATTAAAGTTTTGGAATGGCCCAGCCTGAGCCCAGACCTGAATCCAATTGAAAATCTGTGGGGTGATCTGAAGAGGACTGTGCACAGGAGATGCCCTTGCAATCTGACAGATTTGGAGTGTTTTTGCAAGGAAGAGTGGGCAAATATTGCCAAGTGAAGGTGTGCCATGGTGATAGACTCTTACCCAAAAAGACTGAGTGCTGTAATAAAATCAAAAGGTGCTTCAACAAAGTATTAGTGGGAGTGCACACATATGCAACCATATTATTTTAGTTTTTTAATTTTACTTCCCTCCACCTAAAACATTTAAGTTTGGCCTGTGCGAGTTGGAGATAAACATCTGATGTGGGATCTGCGGCAAAGGCTGTGGCAGCCTCGGACTCGCAATTCTTGAGGTGGGTCAGGTGGGCCTCGTGATCTACATGGGACACTTTGATGGCGGAAATATATTCTCTCTGTGTAGTTGCCTTAAACGCCTCCCACACCATTGCTGGAGAAGCAGAGTTCTCATTGGCCGACCAAATCAGTGTCATATGTGGGTAGACCATATCAGCCACCTTATCATCATGTACCCAATGTGGAGCTAGTCTCCATAAACCTGGGTCACTTGGAAACCCCACACGCAAACAGACTTCCAATGCAGAATGGTCAGAAAGACCAGCCAGAAGATATGAGGCCCCAGACAACTTTCACAGACCTGGCATACTGCCAAATGCTAGATCTATATGGGAGCCAGAGCGGTGTGGAGCCGACAGATATGAGAACATTGAGGTACCCGGATGTTTCCACCTCCAAAGCTCAGTGAGAGCAAAGCTATGCCTCCAATTCTGGAGACCAGGGGATATAATATGATGCGGATTGGAGGTGTCAAGGTCCTGGTCGAATACTAAGTTAAAATCACCTCCAATCAGGAGATGTTTAATCTGGTATTGGGCCAATTTCTGAAAAATTGTGTATAGCAGTGAACAAGCCACTGGTGGGGGCAGGTACACATTTACAAAAGCCCAAAGGACAGCGTGAATTTCCAAAAGTAGGATGAGATATCTGCCGCCACAGTCTGAAATTACTTGTTCTACCTTACAGGGGAGGGACTTGTTTAGTAAAATTGCAACACCCCGGGTATATGTGGAGTATGTGGCATGGAAAGCCAGGCAAACCCACGATCGTCATAAAAGCTAGAGTTTTGTTACCAGTCAGGTCTGTTCCTTAAAGAAACAAGATAAGTGGCTTATGAGAATTTAAGTACTTAAACATAAGGGAGCATTTGAATTTGTTCTTGAGGCCTGTTATTTTCCACAATATCAACTTAAGTTCCATAATACCTTAGAATATAAAAATATATAACAATAGGGATAAGACTCTCAGACCCGTAGGGGCCTATGCGAGCAGTGAGCAAGGATAGCCATAAGAAAGAAAAAGGAGCGAGAAGCAAGAGAAGGAGAAAAAAGATTAGAGCAACCATGCTGCAGAGACTAGCAGGAAGGGAGAACGAACAGGCATAACCGAACGGAACAATTAGAAATGCCCTACCATCTGCCTGTACCCCCACATTAATTCAGGTAGTGCGGTTTTAGTCCCTAGAATTTAATAGTCTGCTACTCAAAGCAGTTCAGTTTATAACATCCAAGTAGCCTCTTGGAGCTGAAAATCCTTCTGAATAGACAAACTTGGGGGGGGGGGGGGTCCAAAATCCTTGGGATCACCTTCAGACCTATGACAGGGAGCATCCTAGGGTCAGGAGAGAGTCCCTTAGCACTTCATAGACAGGAGTATTGTGGCACCTTTCAGAGGTCACCCCGGAGCAATCAGTTTTAGATAATTACAGTAGATGTCTCCAGACTCATAGGTAAAACACAATTTACAAACCCGGGTGGCACATATGGAAAATTCTGGTAAAGAGACATCCAACACTCTATAATACTCACTTAGAACTGACGACAAGAGAACAGATCAATAGGGTAGGTGTACAAACTGGAGATCCGTTATTTAAGCTGCAGGAGCCAACCATCAACTTCCTTAGGGGAGTCAAAAAACCTTACCGAGCCTCCATGCATAACCTGGAGGTGACTTGGATAGATCATGATGTAGGGGATTTCCCAAGTATGGAGCTGTTTGCGCACCTCTGTAAAGGTCTTCCGTTTTTTCAGGAGTTCCGTGGAGAAATGCGGGAAGAGATGTATTGTAGAATTCAGGTATGGTAGAGTGGGGTGTTTCCTTGCCTCTCCAAGGATTCAATCCCGGTCTTGGAAATTCAAAAAGCGGACAAGGAAGGGACGAAGGGTCGCCCCTGGTATATGTTTCCCTGTGGGTAACCTATGGGCGCGTTCCACCGCATACGTTGGGGAAACTTTGGATAAGCCTAATAGCTCCTTAAAAAAGTTCTCTGCAAACTCCACAGGTCGATTGCCTTCAGCCCCTTCTGGTAGGCCCAGCACCTTCACATTATTGAGGCAAAGCCGATTCTCAGTGTCCTCAGATTTTGCCACTAGTGTTTGCACTGTGTACTGAAGAGACTGCAGGAGGTGGGAGTGTTGAGAAGTTGTCTCTTCTGTTGCTGAGGTGCGGGATTCTGTTTCCATTAGCATGCCTCTGATCTTATCAAGATCATGCCAGATAAGTTCACACTCCTCCGCCAAATGATCTATCCTCACCAACAAAGAGGTCCTACTTTGCTCTATAGCCTGGAGAATGACCGCTGTGTCTGAGCCCTGCGATGAGGAGGGAAGAGGCGCAGCCCACTCTGAGTACACAGCCAGGTCCATGTCTACAGCAGCGCCTGTAATTTCTGTGCCAAGATGGCGTCGGCACACAGGGCCACTGGGCCACTCTGCTTCTTTTCTGGCGTCGGGGCAGATGAGTGGCTCTTGGAAAGCATATCAGAGCGATCACTGGGATCAGGAGAGACACTGCATCCTCTGTAATGAAGGTCCGGCACCCGGTGCCAGTGTACAGGGAAAGGATTACACAGGAGTCCCTGGGAGCTGCTCAGATGTCCGTCCCGCTCTACATCCGGCCATGCCACCCTGAAATGATTTATCTTTGTTTCATTTCTTTACATCACAGAAACCTGACATTTTTGATCTGTAGACTTTTTATATCCACTGTATGTTGCAGCCCCTGCAAGATTTATTCCACTGCTTGAAGGTTGCTGAATGAAACAAGATTCATACCATGTTTTTTATTCACCCAATGGTTTGTTTAATTATAGTTTTTTCTTTTTTTTAACATGGCCAGCTTACCATAATTAATTATGATTGATATATATATATGTATATGTGTTCCATTCCCATAAATCAAATCTTTATGGGTTTAGACAATTGAAAATATTCACAGCATTTGATTTTTCTGCTACCTCCTGTTCTCCACCAGAGCTGCCAAAATTACTTTTTAATGGACATCTGTATGATATAGATTACACTGTTCAACAAATTTTTATTTTTTGCCAGTTTTGGAAACAAAAGGATCCATTTCTTAATGAATTTCACATTCTGAGTTCAAATATAACAATGAAATTTGTCAATTGGCTCTAGTTTTTCTGTAAACGGAAAGTTTTCTACTATAGGCGTAATGACTACATAATGCACAATAATTATATAGATAGATGTCTTTCCACAAATATAAAGCAAGTGATATTGACTACATAACAAAGCCTAAATGGCATAATATATTGCATAGGATTACCAAGAAAAATTATAGCCATAAGCTAAGTTGAATCATTTTAATACTTAGGATTCTCACTAGTTTTGTCTTCAGTTTGTGTCGGTTTTGCTTCTCTTGGCTTTTCTCTTGTATTCGAGGAAAGGGCTATCTCTTACAACTGCACGTGACTACACGCTTCAGTTTCTTCCTCACTTGACTCAACCACGAAGGATTCTGGTGCTTTAGGAATTGGTAGCCCCTCTCCATGAGGAACTGGACGTATTGCCGATGGAATATTTGGATAGTGCACAGATAACTTTTTCTTCTTATTTAGCCCTTTTACAATTGGAGGCACCATACAAAAGTAACAATTACTAACATGATCTGTTGGCTCTCTCCAAATCATTGGCACAGCGAAAGGCATAGATGCCTTTTTTCCATTCAACCATTGCTCCAGTGCCGTCCCACAAGAATTACAGCATATATGTGGTGCCCAGCTCTTGTCCTGGTCTCCTATCTTGCAGCCAAAATACAAGTTGTAGGCTTTCTTAATCATTCCTGTTATCCTCCTTTTTTGTGAGATAAAAGTTATTTCACCTCAGATATAGCAGAAATTATCTGCTTTATTCACACAAGTTCGAGGCATTACTGAGTAGCCTATATAAGCATAAAACGAAATGTAAAGACGCTGTTGAACTACAATCAGCTACAGATACTGCAGCTTTTATGCAGTGAAGTGATGCAATTAAAGGCTAATACTGCATCATCTCAGTACACATGCAATTTTCTATTGGTCACCAGTATCAATTGCGCAATATGCAGCTGAAGTTGCATCATAATTTTGAATGGCTTACGTCATTAGATGGGTGAATATGTCATGGA